CCCCCCCCCCAAACCCTGCTGGCCTTCACTCCATAGGAGGCTCCTGATGGGAACTTGGCTGTGTGTGGCAGCGCCTCTCTTTTGGGAAGGCAAAGCCCTTGTTTTTCCTCATTGTTCAGTACCTCCCAGAAAGGCAGGAGTGGAGTGGGAGGTAGCACGTGTCTGTCTCCTCTGCTTTCTCCACACACACACCAGTGATTTCCTGAGCGTCCCTCCAGGGCGCAGGATGAGAAATGGGCCAGAATCAGGGCTGAGCCACAGCCGGGCCCCAGGCTTCTGGGTGAAGGTCCTGCGGTCAGTGACCCGCCTCACACAGCCACACCCTGGGGTGCAGGGAGGGTGTTCATTGCCCAAATAAGAGATTTGCTTCTCCTGGCACATGAAACAAAATCTTGAGAGCTTAAGAATGTAATTTGGGGATCACGATTGAATGTATCCCTTTCTTTTCTAGGATAAAGATAAAGTTTCTCTAACCAAGACCCCAAAACTGGAGCGTGGCGATGGCGGGAAGGAGGTGAGGGAGCGAGCCAGCAAGCGGAAGCTGCCCTTCACTGCGGGCGCCAATGGGGAGCAGAAGGACTCGGACACAGGTACCAGCCCGCGGCCCCTCCTGCACTCAGCCCTCCACAGGCTGCCCGGAGCAGCCCAGGCAGGGTGTCCCCAGTCCCCGCACCTCCGGCTTTGCACTGGGACCCACGGTAGCACCCTGCACGCCATCCAGGCAAGGGGCAGCAGGGGCGGGGCACAGGCCCCCACGTGCCACCTCCTCTTCACCCGAGGCTCAGGCCCCCAGGGCTGATTGGAGAGCTTCACTCTCGGGTCCCACACGTGTGGAGATGCACCCGGTGCGTGTCCAGCCCTGGGCGAGGTATAGGGCTTCTGACCTGTGGGTCTTCTGACAGCTGGACACAGGAGGGAGACAGTGGTTCCCCTCAGGGCCACAGAGGCACAGGAAGAAGCTCCATCGCTTGTAGTAAAAACCAAAGGGAGCCCTAAAAGTGAGCAGGAGGCAGGGAAGTCTTCCCAAGCGCAGGTGGGATCTGAGGCTGCAGAGCAGGAATGTGTGTGCTGTGTGCATGTGCCTATGCCAGAGTGTGTACCTGTGTGTATGTGTGCCCGTGTGTGCCTGTGTGTGCCCATGGGCACATGCCCGTGTATCTGTGTACATGTGCCCATATGTGCCCATGTATGTGCTTGTGTGTGTACCCGTGTGTGTGCCTGTGTGTGTGTACCCGTGTGTGCCTGTGTATATGCCTGTATGTGCGCCTGTGTATGCCCATGTGTGTGCCTATGTATGTGTGCTTGTGTGTGCCCATGTGTGTGCCTGTGTAGATGTGCGCCCATGTGTGTGTTCCTGTGTGTGCCCATGTATGTGCTTGTGTGTGTCTGTGTATATGTGCGCCCATGTGCATATGTCCGTGTGCATGTATGTGTCCATGTGTGCGTGTTCATACCTGTGTGCCCGTGTGTGTTCATGTGCACACACTCCTGGCGGGTTCAGCGCCTCCTGCAGTGCCCCTTCCAGTGGATTCTGTCTTGAGCTGCTCAGCGGGGAGCCCAGGCCTCTGTGCTGGCCATGCTTGTTCTTTGGTGATTCTTGTGACCAGAGGCCTTCTTGTCCTCCTGGTCATCCAGCTTCTCTACAGCCCTGCTGGGGAAAGTTGGAGGCAGTAAAGCACTAAGCTGGCCACAAAGCCTGGAGTGAACCGGCCTGACGTGCTGTGTCAGGCCCTGGGCTCTGTCCCTGGCCTCCTAAGACTCCTTGAATGCAGCCATAGCACAAGGCGTAGAGGCTGTGCCAGGATGTGGGTTTGAGAGCAGACGGGGAAGTGGTGCAGGTGATAGGGACTCGTGATACTAAGGAGATTGTTGAAGAGGAACAGCAGCAGGCACAGCCGGTAAAGAGGATCCAGGCCCCGGCTTTTGTCAGCACAGCTCAGGAAGCTTCAGCCTTGATGATTGTGTGGCTGCCGCAGGCCCGTGGCCCCTCCTGTCCTATGTGGGGTGCTCCAGGGATGTGCTCACAGTAGCCAGGTGGAGACTCTGCCGAGTGAAAGGCCAGCGGAGAGGGCTGGTTTTCCCAGGTGGGAAGTGAGGGGCAGGTGCAGTGCCAGGCACATGGCTCCTGTCTCTGGGCCAGCACATCTGGGGACAGGAAGGCTGCAGGGACACCAGCACAGGCCCGGGAGGACTCCTCTTCCCCGCAGCGGACAGCTCCAAGGAAGAACATTGGGAGGCACAGGGAAGTGAGTGGACAGAATGTGTGGACAGGTCCTGCGAGGGACCTCAGCCCCCAGAAGGGAGGGCCTGGGCGACTCCCGGGAGCTCCCAGCGGTGCTGTGTCCTCTCGGGCTTTAGGCCTAGAGAAAATCAGTCCAGTCCTGAAAACCCTGTGCTTGCTCTTTCTGGTCCCATGCTGGTTTTGGTTGTAGGAGGCCGTCACATGGATGCGTAGTTGTTAGCTCTTTGTACAGTGGCCATGTGGAGTTGGCCTCAGACCTTTGAGGTGTTTCTGTGATGTCTCTGGAAGTGTTGCTGAAAGGGTTAATGAGACAAGCATCTGCTTCTGCTTCCTAGGGGAACGATCCCGCTTGGTAAGATGGTGTTCCCAGGGCTACCCGGTGCCCACCCCGTCTGGCTGGTCAGGTCTCTTTGTGGTGGCCGTTTCGTCATCGTGGAGAGAAGCTCTCCCCCAGGGCCCTGCTGTGTTGTCAGAATCTTCCGGGGTCTGTCTGTTGATGGTTAGCGCCTGCCTGGTGCCAGCCCTGCTGGCCCACTGAGGCCGTTCTCACTATCTGTGGGTCTCTGGGATATTTTCTGCCACAGCCCTGAGCACTCCTGGAACTGTGTGTTGAACACCACGTCCTTTCTCTGTGAGGGGCAGGCCCAGGTGAGGACAGGGTAGGTGAGAATCCCTGTGAGGTGGGAAAACAGTAAAGAACATTTTGAAAATAGAATTTTCCAGGCAAGGACTGTGACAGAAAGACCTAAGAAATATAGTATTTGTCCTCCTGTGTTTATCACCCTTTTGGGGCCAATTTTAATAACTTCTTGTTTAATGTCGCAAAACTAGATTTCCTAGGAAGATTGTTCTGATGTATGAATGTGGAGCATTGCTTATCCTAGAAGCTTGCATTTTAACCAGGACCCTCTTAAAGTAGCAAGTCCACGGCCGGGTGCAGTGGCTCACGCCTGTAATCCCAGTACTTTGGGAGGCCAAGGCGGGTGGATCACCAGGTCAGGAGTTCGAGACCAGCCTGGCCAACATGAAGAAACTATACCCCCGTCTCTACTAAAAATACAAAAATTAGCCAGGCGTGATGGCACGCGCCTGTAATCCCAGCTACTCAGGAGGATGAGGCAGGAGAATTGCTTGAACCCAGTAGGTGGAGGTTGCAATGAGCCACGATTGCACCATTGCACTCCAGCCTGGCGACAGAGCAAGACTCCCTCTCTAAATAAATAAATAGTAGCAAGTCCAACTCCAGTGCGTTCAGCCCCACCCTGGGCCAGGAGGCAGGCTGCTGGGTGCTGTGACTCTCACACACGCTGCACCCCGCTCCTGCCCCCGGAGGAGCAGTTCTTGCTCAGAAATGAGTGGGGTGGAGGGAGAGGTGCACACCTCGGCTGTACCCATCTGGTGGCCACAGCAGGGACGAGAAGAGAAACATTGGTGCAGGGTTAACCGACATGTGACAGACGAGAGACTCTTCTCTGGTCCGCAGGGGTCAGGCCCCTCTGGAGAGGTGTGGGTCCCTGCCAGGCTCTCTTCCTGCAGTGCCCCTGCAGCGCCCTCTGCTGAGCAGGCGCAGCCAGTGCCCCTTGCCATGGTGGGAGGGATGCAGGGTCACCACCGTCCCAGGTACCTTGGCTGTGTCCAAGTGGGAGAGGCTGGCACACCTCCCTCAGAGACTTCCGTGTTGCCTTGGGGATATGGCTTCCCGCCTCCCACACGCGGGGTGGAGTCAGCCCTGCCCGTGGTCCAGTCCCATGGAGATGCAGCCTCTGCAGTGCTTAGTCAGGGCTAGGGGCGGCCTGCCAAGAACAACGTGGTTCTGTCTGTCGTGAATCAGCGCAGTTTAAAGCAGTCCCCAAGGCTGTGCATCTGCGTGGTCCCTACACAGCGGCCTGGAGGCTGTCCAGGTAGACGTGAGCATGTGACACAATCACCTTTGCGCGTTCCAGAGTGCCAGGCAAGAGCCTGTCCCAGGACCAGACCTCTGTAAGGGCTGTGGGTGCAGCAAGGAGTAGGAAGGCACCTGCCATGTCCTGGCCCCAAGACAGCTCTGCCCACCGAGCCCTCTCAGACCAGCTTGCCCTGGGACTTTGATCCCATCTTGCCTACCCTGCTCTGCCTGCCCTGGTTGCCTGGGGCCTCTTGTATCTGCTTTTGAAGTCTGTCCTTTACCACCTCAATGGTGGTCTCAGTTCAGAAACCCTTGTCACTGAAAGCATTCATATTGAATTATATGGTATCTGGGATTTGCTTCAAATTATACTACTTTGTCTACTTTTTCATATGTGTAAGTTTTCCCAACACTTAAAAAATCTAAAAGTAGCCAGGCACAGGCGCCCACACCCTTCCAGCACTTTGGCGGGAGGGTCCCTCAAGGCCAGGAGGTCAAGGCCACGGTGAGCCGTGATTGCGCCACTGCACTCCAGCCTGGGCGACAGAGTGAGACCCTGTCCGTAAAAAATAAAATAGATAAATAAATAATCAGTCAATCAGCGCATGTTTTTGAGGTTGCTGTGCCTCATTGCCTGGCCTCCCTGGGGTTCTGGGGAGCCTCCTGCCCCGCTGTTTCTCCTGCGCCTTCGTCTGTGACCCTGAGTCTCGCTTCTCCCTGCCTAGGACCGCCGGGGTCCTGCTTGTCCTGGGGCAGCCGCGAGGGAGCCCTCGTCAGGAGCGCCGTGGGCCGAAGCTGCCTGCCCTCTGCACGTGGATGTTTCTTTGGAACAAGGGGAAAAATTATGATTTTCTTATTTTGCTTTGACCTGTGAATAACACCCTGGTCTCTGGTGCCTGGGGTGTGTGCTCTGCAGTGCTGGCGGGCACATGCTGGCTCCTTCAGCGTGAGGTGCTTGGCACCTTCAGTCTTTTCCTGACGTCATGTTTGTTCCTGGTGCCTCAGATAGGAGACGGCTGCCCTGACGGCTCCTGCTTCCCCATTCCTGGAGGGAAGACAGACTTAGCCACAGGGGTCTGTGGGATCTTGGAACTCTGAATGCCAGACCTTGCCCAGTGCTAGAGGCGACGCGTGTGTGAAGTGGAAGAGGCTTCTCCCATCCACTCCGCCGCAGTGGACCCGAGCGGGCAGAGAGAGCAGAGTGCAGCAGGGGCCAGGCTGTGCTCGCAGGCAGGGCAGGTGCCTGGAGAGCATGGCACCCCGGGAGCCTCTTGCCAAGAAGGGCGTGTGCACTGCAGTGTGCTGTGGACCGGTGGCCTCAGCTCAGTGTCCTGACGAGGGTCCCAAGGCACTCACGTGTGTGGGGATGTTAGCAACACACGGCGGGCAGCCCTGATGCAGTTTCTCACCGAGCACGTAGCAGACCCCATGCACCCCACACAGGGCACAGACCCCACGCACCCTACACAGGGCAGGCACCCACGCAGGGCACAGACCCCACGCACCCCACACAGGGCAGGCACCCACGCAGGGCACAGACCCCACACACCCTACACAGGGCAGGCACCCACGCAGGGCACAGACCCCACACACCCTATACAGGGCACAGACCCTAAGCACCCCACGCAGGGCACGGATCTCACACACTCCTCGCAGGGCAAAGACCCCACGCAGGGCACAGACCCCACACAGAGCACAGACCCCAAGAACGCCATGCAGGGCACGGATCCCACGCAGGGCAGGGGCAGCCCAAGGCCAGGCCCCTCCCCTGTAGAACTCCTACCAGGCAAGACCAGAGCCACAGTCACTTCCACACCATTTCCTTCCCGAGAAACCTCAGCAGACTCTTCCTCCTTTCCTGGCTACACGGGGGCCCCTGCCGCAGCCTGACCCTCTGCTACCTCCTGAGCCTCAGGAAAGCAAGGTCGGCCTCTGAATACAGAGGACTTCGGTCCTGCCAGAGGGTGCGTGGCCATGGGTGCTGGCATGCAGGCAGCCTGCGGGGAGGCAGAGTGGGGCTGCAGCAAAGGCCGTGGTGGTTGTGGTGAGGGTGGTGGCCAGGTCTTGTTGCCATGGTGAGGATTCTGGGGTTACCCTAAGAGCCACCACATTCAGGCACTCATGAAAAAGCACATCAAAATAAAATATTTTCACATGATGAAGAACTCCGCGTGATTGGTCTCTGGTCCTACTACTTCCCAAGCATTTTCCTCTCTGGATGTAAGCAGTTTCTCACACATAGGGAAGGTTCTTCCTGTTTAAAATTCCATACTCCCCAAGCTGCAGCAGAGGCCTCCCTGACTCCCCTCAGAAGTGCACTTGGGCCGATAGCCAGGCCCATGTTGTCAACACAACACAGACAAGCTGGGGTCCACCAGACCACCGCAGGCTCAGCGATTTGACAGGACCCCAGGACTCAGGATAAAGGTGGTGGCTGCCGTGGGAGCCGTCAGCTGAGGGGGGGGGCGCGCGGGGGCATCTGCTGCCTCGTGGCTCCCTGCGGTGGGACTTTGGGCCCATTTCTCAACCTTTCTGTGCCTCTCAGCCCTTTCATCCGTAAAGCTCTGCTGTGTGAGGAGCTGTGGCCCCTTGACAGAGGAGCCCCACCCCCAGCCCTGTGCTCTCACCGCCTACGCACTCGACCAGGCAGGCCTGTGCCCTGCAGGAGTGATGGACACAACTCAGGCCTCAGTGCAGGTTTGGACGTTGATCTTGTTTATTTTAAAATACCCACGACGCTGTGTGTGTGGAAAGGAGGCCCAGGGTGGGAAGCTGTTCGGTTGTCATCTGAGCCCTTTTGCCGACATTGCTTCCTTCCTTCTTGGCTTCCTGTTCACCATGGTGACAGCTGAATGCTGGTGAAACCACCATGGGGCTTAGACCCTGCTCCTTCCCACCCTTGCCACGTTACCCTGTTTGCCTCCACAAGCTTCCTGTGGAACTGGTCCTTCCACCCCACCCCGGTCTGGAGATGGGGAAGGCATGGAGGTCGTGCAGGCAAGGGCTGGACGCACAGCCTCATCTCTGTATGACCCCTTCACATATACTACAGAAGAAGCTGAAGCTGAAAGGCCTAAGAGATGACCCCAGCTCCCATCGGCAGGCAGGAGGGCTGAGGTCACACAGCAGACGGGGTAGGCCCTGTCTTTCTTTAAGTGATCAATAATGGTAACAGGCAGAAACAGAGAGAAACCTGGAGATTGGAAGGAGAAGCCATTCTCACCACACACGGTGGCTCACAGGACTCAGCGGGGGCCCTGCCAGCTTCTCCTGTTGGCCCAGGACAGGCTGTGTGGAGCTCCTGTCTTGCTGCCCCGAGGGGGGTCGGTGGCAGGACTGCTGCGCCCTCGTTAGTGTGAGTTGAGCTCAGTGCTTGGGTGGGAACTTGGTGATCTGGACCATCCGCCTGGTGTAGATGGGCTGTGATTAGACTTCTTGGCCAGAAGTGCTGTATTTCATGGCTGTGAACATCCAGATGAGGCCAGATGTTTGGTTTTAGTGAAGTGGACAGAATCTGTGAGCAGCAGCCATGCCACAAAGCTGCACCCAGCCCTGCCCATCCGTTCCATGAGCTGTAACCGCCATTGGCCATGAACTTTCTCTTGTTTGAAAATATCACCATGGAAACATCCCTTTGTGTAGCAGAATCAAGAATGTATTTTGACATCTTCGAGTTTTACGGTGGGATGCGGGAGTCGCACATTTTCCTATGTTGACAGTATCGTGGCCTGTGTCCCCTAAAAGACTTGCTAGAAAAGCCTAGAAATTAGAGGTGCTAAATGATTGATACAAAAGGCATTTGTTCAGATGAGTAGCAGAGGCCACACAGCTCCACATCCCTGCGGCCCTACCTCAGGGTCTCTGCATTGGAGCCCAACCTCAGACCTCCCAGGGAGGTAGAGGAAGGGGCTCTGAGCCCAGACCCCACGAAAAGCTTGTCCTCTCAAGGAGGCCACACTTCCTGGACACTTTGGGCTATCTGAGCAGACACTGTTCCCCCAGCTAAGAGGGACAGGCACTGAGGAGGGGCTTTGAGGGGTCACCACAAAGACTTCTGACCCAGTCCTGCCCTCCGGTGGGGCTGGCATCTGTATTTGTGCCATTGCTGGAAATGCCCCCTCTCCCTGAGGCCCCCACCACCACAAAAGCAAACCCTCCCTGGAGAGACACACCGTCCTCATCCAGGCCTCGCGGCTCCGAGTGCAGACAGACGAAGAGCCCGGTTGGAATTACAGACGCTGAGGAAGAAAAGCTGTCCTGAGAGATCAGCAGGGGGCAGCCCCAGGGACCTCACACGCTGGGACGGTTAAGTGCACAGTATCCATCGGAGGATTTAAAACCATCGAGTATCATGCAGATGTTTCTAGAGCACATGGAATATCTGGAAATGAAAACTAGAATCACTGAAATAAAAAACCCAGTGGGCAGATGATGTAGCTTATTAGACACAACCTAAGAAAGTATTGGTGAATTGGAAGTTCTAACAAAAGAAATTGCCTAAACTGGAGCACAGAATGAAAATGAGACAGGAAGCCCGCAGGAAGCGGGGAGCTGTGGAGGAGAGAATGCAGCTCAACAGGCACCTCAGCAGAGGAGAGAGCAGGGCAGGGAGATGGTGGCTTTTCAAGGTTCATAAAAACACAAGCCTCAAATTCAAGAAGTGTAATGAATTATAAGCAGGAGAAAGAACAGTAATTACACATTTAAATATGACATTTCAATATGACTCTGACATGAAGTTTTCACAACAGCAAAGGGAGGATGTTAAAAGCAGCCAGATGTGGTGGCACAGCCACCCATGGTCCCAGCTACTCTGGAGGCTGAAGTGGGAGGGCCGCTTGAGCCTGGGAGGTGGAGGCTGTGGTGAGCTGAGATTGCGCCACTGCCTCCATCCTTGGCTACAGAGTGAGACCTTGTTTAAAAAAAAAAAAAGGCAGCCAGATAGAGAAGACACTCCCTGCACAGCACCCCCAGGCGGGTCACAGCTCCCACATCCCACCTGCACAGAGCACCCCCAGAAAGGTCACAGCCCCCCCATCCCACCTGCACAGAGCACCCCCAGGAAGGTCACAGCTCCCCCATCCCACCTGCACAGAGCACCCCCAGAAAGGTCACAGCCCCCCCATCGCACCTACACAGAGCACCCCCAGGCGAGTCACAGCCCCCCCATCGCACCTGCACAGCACCCCCAGGCGAGTCACAGCCCCCCCATCGCACCTACACAGAGCACCCCCAGGAAGGTCACAACCCCCTCATCCCACCTGCACAGCACCCCCAGGAAGGTCACAGCCTCCGCATCGCACCTGCACGGAGCACCCCCATCCCCACCTGCACAGAGCACCCCCATCCCACCTGCACAGAGCACCCCCAGGAAGGTCACAGCCCCCCCATCCCACCTGCACAGAGCCAGGTGCTGCTGCCATTTGCCCAGGAAGCTCACCTCCAGTCTCTGCTGCCTCAGAAAGGCCTTGGCTGGATGCAGGGGCAGGAAGTGGGCTCCAGCTCCCAAAAGCATCGTCCACTGTAGCCCCTGCTGCCCCAGGCCAAGGCCATGCTCCAGCAGCAGGAAAGGGCTCATGGCGGGGGAGGTCTCAGCTCTGTGCTGAGGAGGGGAGGGTTCTGTGGAATCTCCCATTGGCCAGCTGGGTACTGAGGTGCTGCCAACCTCAGAGGGCTGGCAAGGTGGATGTGGTTTGAAGAAAGGTCCTACAGGCCTTGTTTCTTGAAGATGAGGTGGGTGGCCGCCAGGCTCAGGTCAGTGGACAGAGGTGCCACCGCCGACACGCTTGACTTGGGAAGATTCAGCCTTTCCTGGCGCCCTCCACGGCTCTCCCTGGACCTCTCCCTCAGCCCCAGGCTGCCTGAGCCCATAAAGCCCTCAGAGCCTGCAGGCCATTTTCCGACTGCGGAGCAGGAGTGGCAGGGGGCTTCTGAGTCCTGTGGAGTTGCTCCCACCCCCCACCCCGGGGCCACATCTGCCTGTAGCTGGGACTCAGTCCCTAGACCTGCATGTTTTCCACTTTGCAACTTGGTGAATACCATTTGGAATTCATAGAAATTGTATTTGACTTCTATTCGGACAGTAGAGACAGGAAATTTGCAGAATGCTGCAGGAACTTGCTGGTTGTTCCTCGGGGTAGCTCCAGATGCTCTCAGCCTTTTGTTCCCCGCAGACAACACCCCACACCCGCCGTGCTCTGCACTGTGTGGAGGGGCAGAGGAGCAGGTTTTGCAGCCTCTCCTCTTCAGAGGGGCCTTTCTCAGGGGCGCACAGCTCCAGGTCAGCCCAGGCCTGGGGTAGGAGGGGCAGGCAGGCAGTGCGTGACCCCCCTGCAGGACCCACTTCTGTGGCGCCTGACAGTGCAGGTGCCTGCGGCATGTGTGCACATCAGGGACCCGCTCAACTGCTCTCAGACCGTGGTGTCGCTGGGCTGGAATGGAGAGCAGGCATTGTTGAGCCGCAGGCTGTGGCACACGGGGGTCTCCCTCCGTGGGTGGGGGTCTCCCTCCGTGGGTGGGGCTTTCCTTCTATCCCAGAAGCCCCTGGAGTGGGCAGTGTCTCGGACCTGACAGACATGCAGGTTTGCTGGGCTCTGGAGCTCGGGTGGTGTCTGGTACGTGTTGTGGGCCTTGTGGATGCTCGTAGCTGCAGGTGCTTGTTTCACAGTGGAGAAATTGGCATCCTGGGAGATCTGGTTTCATACTGGACTTTTGTTGTGTCAGGACAAGTACAGCGTCTTGTTTCGGGACTGGGTGAGAAGTCGCTGCTTCCTGGGAGCAAGCTCTTCCTGAGTCAGGGCAGAGCGAGGTCCCTGTGGTGGCTCCAGGCACCAGAATTCACCAGGAGGTTGGCAGCACCTTCCATGCGAATTTTTGGGAGCCCTGTAAAGCTGACCTGGCCACGTGAGGGAAGCCAACTCAGTCTTTCTTCACCAAAGCTCAGAGCAGAAGCAGAAGGAGGGCCTGGTGAGGAGCGGGAGGGATGTGGCCCTGACCCTTAGGCTCGGGCCCTGGAGCCCACCCAGGAAGTCACTGGGGCACTGAGTCCTGCCCAGTCTGCACACACAGGGTGTGGGCTGCACCTGAGATGGCCGCCCTGCAGGAGCGGGACACGTTCTGTTTGCCATAGAAAGCAGCTCTTCACTGCCCCTCAGAGGGTGTGCAGCGTGGTCTCCTGGCCTGCCACTCTAAAGCCTGACTTCTAAGGAACACCTTTGCCTCCTGCCTGTTCCCCTGACACACGCCTCCTAGGATCCTTTGATAACTTAAGAGCATGGTAACATCTGCATTTTGGGATCTGAACATACCACAGCCCCAACACCACCCCACCTCCTCCCTCCGGAGTCCCAACACCGCCCCAGCTCCTCTCCCCGCAGCCCCAACACCGCCCCAGCTCCTCCCTCCACAGCCCCAACTCTGCCCCAGCTCCTCCCTCCACAGCCCCAACTCTGCCCCAGCTCCTCCCTCCGCACCCCCAACACCGCCCCACCTCCCTGTGTCCACCCCTAGCGGCCACATGCAGCAGAGTGGGGCCCACTCGCTTTTGACTTCTGATGGTCAGTGGAATAAGGAGATGCCTTATGCTCCCAGGAGTCTCCTGTGCTGTGCGCTGCTTTGCAAAGTCTGTTATCTCAGGGGTTCTGCTTTCCTCATGTTCTCAAGGGGCTTCATGTCTCCAAAGCATTAACTCCCCTGCTCTGGGTGACGGAGAGAACAGGCCTCTGAATGTGCATAGCTAGGTCTTGGGGTTCAGGGCCCTGCAGAGGTTCTCAGCCGCTTTTCCAGGCAACTGTGGGCAGAGCAGCCGCTCGCTGAGCGTGGCCCCTCCCGGAGAGAGGAGGACTTGAGGGCTATCTGTTGGGGAGCTGGGGTTTCTCCGGCAGCTTCGCCACCTCTTTCCTAGAGGGAGGCAGCCGTGGGTCTGCTTCTGTTGTGTAGAGGTGGCTGTGAGAAGCAGGCCTGGGGAGGGCTGGCCCCCGGGCAGCATGCAGGGTGCAGGGAAAGCATGGGGTGCGCGCATAGAGACCCACGGCCAAGCTCGCTGCTGAGGTGTGGCTACGCCAGTGATGGCTGTGGGCTGGGGCTCACTGGCCGGTGGCGAGGCCACCTCCCCCACCACTGTGTTTGCCGCGTTATATGAGGGGCTGGTGCCAGAGTTCAAGGGCTGTCTCAGATCTATGCACTGAGGACTGTTTACAGACTCGCTGGTGGTGGCAATGGCAGCCTGCAGTACTTGGGGTTTTGCCCGTGAATGTGACGCAGGTCGATGTGGCCAGGTGTGTGCCCTCCTGCAGGCTTGTCCCATAGGACATACGAATCCGCATTCTCAGCATGCCCCAGACCTAGTTCCTAGGAAGTCAGCCTCAGATACCTTGGAAAGAGCTAGGGTGGGTGGGCAGTGTCTTCTGAGGAAAGCGACGGGCACATTCATGGGGACTGTGGTGGTGAACAGCAAGGGAGTTGTGCCGTGGGAGCTGAGCCAAGAGACCAGTTAAGGCCCTTCTGTGTTCCAGTGACCGGGCAGGTGTGGGGTCCAGTTAGCCCGTTGTCACAGACGTCACCCACCTCTCTAGGGTCAAACACCAGCTGAGGGAGAAGTTAAGTCCTGAAGAGAGAGGCTTCTTGGATATGCTGAACGGAAGGGAAAGGAGGTGCCTCAGAGGAGAGCTTCAGAGGCCCATATCTCCCTGGTGGCACTTCTTCCCCAAGTCAGGCCTTGGCAGAGCCTTGCCTCTGTGCTGCACCTCTGCAGTTGGCACCCCATGACCTACCCCAGAACCCACAGGGCAGCTGGAGGAGGATTCAGAGGTGTCTGGCCCCCGATTTCCGTCCACAGGAGGGCACTGGTCAGGCAGAGGAGGAGGCAGCTTCTGTGCCCCTGACTCTTAGTGCTTGGGGTCTTCTCCTCCCCGCCCCTGCCTCCTGCCTCTCTTAGAAGACACAGCGCGTGAGTTGTGTTAGACGCTGGCCGAGTTCTCTCACGGGTCAGACGAGCGCAGGGTGTGCTTGTTACGAGGAGGCTGAGGTGGAACAGCCCAGCTCTCACACCGTGTCTTGTTAGTGCTCTGTGTTGATGCCTTTAGATGCCTCCAGCCCAGTCCCTGTTGTGGTGCTGCAAGGCTGGTACGCTCCTCGAAGCACCATGGCATGAGATGGAGGTTCCTAGAAGCAAGAAGAAAGGTACAGTACTGACCAGTTGGCCTTGATTTACTGATGTGTTTTAAACTGTGTCTGCCATTTTATATCTGCACTGTTTGGAGGAGGGACGGGGAAGGTGGAGTTTAATTACAGGCACGTGTTTTAACAGAGACCTGTCCTGTGTGAGCCAGGTCACCGGTGCTAAGCTGTCCCACCGCATTCATGTGTGGTACGAGGTCTGGGGAGGCCCAGGAGAGGTGCCTGGAGTGAGTGAATGCTCGGTGGAGGTCCAGGCTTAGCGGACTTGAGGGGCTGGTAACGAGGTGTTTAAATGGTCTCACAGTCACTGCTGAGAGGTGAGGTGGGTGGCACCAATGCTCCCAGCACCGCTGTGCTTTCCCCACTCACAGACCTTCCTTTCTGCTCTGTCAGCTGTCAGGTGGACGCAGGGGGCTCCGTAACATTAGGTAGGGACCTGGGTTTGGAGGACGCCGTGGCATGAAATCTCTCCTCCCTCTCTCCCTCGCCCGCCTCACAGAGAAGCAGGGCCCTGAGCGGAAGAGGATTAAGAAGGAGCCTGTCACCCGGAAGGCCGGGCTGCTCTTTGGCATGGGGCTGTCTGGAATCCGAGCTGGCTACCCCCTCTCCGAGCGCCAGCAGGTGGCCCTTCTCATGCAGATGACAGCTGAGGAGTCTGCCAACAGCCCAGGTGAGCCCAGCCTGGGGGTGGTCCCTGGCGCAGGGAAGGGGCTCGGCTGGGCCTGGTTGCAGCCTCGTGGCTGTGCTGAGGATAAGCCCTGTGCAGAGGGACCTCGTGACGGTGGCCTGGGCTCTTGAGGATTTGAGAAAGCAGGGCCACCCACAGTAACGCCCACCTGTCCCCTCCTTGGCCTGCAGTGGACACAACACCAAAGCACCCCTCCCAGTCTACAGTGTGTCAGAAAGGAACGCCCAACTCTGCCTCAAAAACCAAAGATAAAGTGAACAAGAGAAACGAGCGTGGAGAGACCCGCCTGCACCGAGCGGCCATCCGCGGGGACACCCGGCGCATCAAAGAGCTCATCAGCGAGGGGGCGGACGTCAACGTCAAGGACTTCGCAGGTGGGCGCCCTGTGCCTGGCAGGGGCCAGAGGGCCCCACTGGAGCCCTGAGCCTCCCGTTGGGTCGGATGGGCTGTGCCCTCGTGGGCTGTGCATCTGCTCTGCAGGGCCCGGGGTGTTCACAGCCACACTCACTCCAGTGGGGTTCGCTGTTGCTGAGAAGAAATCAGTGTTTCTTGGAAAGTATTTCAAAGTAAACTTGTTTGCTGGGTTTTATTGTTACTTTTATTTTTAGACAAGGTCTCGCTCTGTTGCTCAGGCTGGAGTGCAGTGGCGTGATCACGGCTCACTGAAACGTTGAACTCCTGGGCTCAAGCGATGTTCCCAACTCAGCCTTCCGAGTGCAGGCACACGCCACCACGCCTGGCTAACTTTTTTATTTTTTGTGGAGACAGGGTCTTGCTAAGTTGCCCAGGCTGTTTTGAACTCATGGCTTCAAGAAATCCTCACGCCTTGGCTTCCCAAAGTGCTGGGATTACAGCTGTGAGCCCCCATGCCTGGCCTATTTTTAAGAGAACTGAGGAATTTTAAATCGTGCTCTGCTGTGTTCCATAAACCTCAAGTCCAGGCCCCTGGAGGGGCCGGTCCCTGGTGTGTCTAGCAAGTGGCTGCATTCTGCAGCAGAGGGTGCCCCCGAGCCGGGAGCGCGGCTGGGTCCACACCCTGGACTAGACTCCCTCCCTTCACGGGGCTGGGGCCTGGGGCTTGCCTTGGACCCGGACAGAACTGAGTCTCCCCAGACCTGACACAGCCCGGGGGCTTAAAGGCCCGTGATTAGAGTTTAATGTCCCTTCTTTCCATAAATGCCCCCATCAAACCATGGGTGGTCCACATGTCCCAGAACTGTCTGTTCCCAGTGTAAGGAGAACAGATGAACGAAATCGTCTGGGTAGAAGTCTTCTAGATTTCTCCCACTGCCCTGGTTTATAGCTGTCTGACCCAAACCTAATTTAGCGCCCTTTTTTTTTTAAAGCATTTTTCTAGAAGAAACTTCCCCAGAGCACTGCCGTGTGCTTCCCATGGGGCTGAGCTCCATTTCCACCGCTGCATGCGGCCACACCATCCGATGGTGGGCTCCAAGCTCCCCAGGCAGAAGCTGCCGGCCGGGGCGGCCTTCATCATGCAGCCCGAGCCTGGGCGCCTCTGGAGCTCCTGCCGCAGCAGCTCTTCAGCCTTCAGGAGGCGCTCTCAGCCTCAGTTTCCCTGTTTCCGACACTGGAGGCTTCCCTTCCTTGTTTTGCAAAGGCACATACGCCTCCAGATCAGTGAGGACGAGGCTGCTGTTTACGGCACTTGTGTTCACTGGTCTCCTACCCCTTTAGGGCGATTGCTGCAGGTCAGCCCTGCAGGTTGTTAGTCTGTGGGGTTAACAAGCTAGATACGGATTGTGCTAGGGGTGCCACAGTAAAGAGAAGCGAGGGGTTCTCTGGGCTGGCACCTGCTTCCTAAACTGCAGCCCTCACGACAGGGCAGCTCCCCACCTGGCTTGTCCCTGCCCCTTAGCCCATCCTCAGGGTGCTGCCTCCAGAGACAGGAGGGGAGTTCCCAGGATTAAATCACGTATGTCCTGAGTGTCTGTTTCCAGGCTGGACGGCGCTGCACGAGGCCTGTAACCGGGGCTACTATGACGTTGCGAAGCAGCTGCTGGCCGCAGGTGCGGAGGTGAACACCAAGGGCCTGGATGACGACACGCCTTTGCACGACGCTGCCAACAACGGGCACTACAAGGTTGGCATCCCCCATCCTTCACACATCCGGCCTGTCCTGGCATCTGGGTGGTTCTGTAGCTCTTTGTCCCCGTAGCTAGCCGGTTTCATGGTGTGGGGCACCGGAAAGCGAGTTTTTGCCTTGCCCACCCTGAAGGCCGAGCTGTGCCCTCTGTCTGCCCCCAGCTTTCCCCTCCTGGGTCAGCACCTGGACGGCCTCTCACAGGTTTCGCAGCACCTGCCATCTATGAAAAGGCTCGTATCCACCAGCCGTGTAGGTCTGGTTGGATTGGAGCAGGTGAAGGATTACACCAAGTGGAAGGAGGCCTGCAGGAGTTGCTGCCGGTCCCCGTCACCACTGTGGGGCTCTTAGACCTGCAAGGCAGACCCACCCTCGTCTGGAATGAGGTAACACCAAGAGGTGTGGCCAGTGCACAGAACCATAGACTCAAGATTGAGAAAGTGGCCACTGTGGCCGGCCCAGGAGCAGTGGGCACTGAGAGGTCTCAGCCTCTGTGGGAGCCGAGAGATGTCGTTGTGCCTGACAACCTCGTCCTGCAGGAAAGCAGGGGTGCTGCCTGGAGATGGGGTGGGTCTCACCGACGTCATCACCAGAGCTCTGTGGAGAGCCCCTGGTTGCAGGCAGGACAGCAAGGCTGGGGGGTCACACGGGGCCACATCTGCCCGTGCCCGTCGTGCTCCTCTGCAGCAGGCCCTGCCTGGCCATTGCGGGAGGTCCCGGAGCCCACAGCACCTTGGCCTTAAAGAGCAGACTTGAGAAACAGCTCATTCAGGTGGGGTGGGGGGTAGATTGAAGACTCTGAGATGAGCAGGGAACTTAGAACACTTGAGTCCATATTTGAGTCCATATTTGATGTTAAAACGTGACCGTTAAACTCTTGGGTAAGATGATGAATGGCGTTATGGTTTACCCTGTTTCTTTTTTATGGGCCCTTCCAGAGACATGAACTGGAAAAGGCTCTGCAGTGTCTGGGATTCGCTCACTACTGCGGGGGAGGGCCGGTGTGAGGGGAATGGCGCTGGGGGCGGTGTTGGGGCTAGGGCATCCGATGCAGCTTCATACTTCTGTAATTACCACTTTTAAATTTTTTTATTATGAAAAATGTCAAGGATTTACGGTGAGGTAGGCAGGATAATGGCCCCCAAGATGCCCGTGTTGTGACCCCAGACCTTGTGAGTGCCTCACATGGGGAAATCGTCCTAGGCCATCTTGCAGGTCCTGGGCAGTCCCATGGGCCCTAAAGCCTGTGAGCCTTTCCTGCTGAGTCTGAGAGATCCCAGAAGCAGGAGAGGTTAGAACCCGAGGAGGGCCACACCTGTGCTGCTGGCCTTAGAGGAGGGCCGAG